AATTTATACAGCACCGGAGAGTCCAACAGTGATATCATTAGTATTATCTGATTTCAGCCATCTGCTTAGAGGCACATAATCTAATCATTTCCCTTGGCAGATGGGGAGAGGGTAAGCTGGGGCTAAGAAACAGAGTCAGGTTCATTTTATTTAATGCAGCATCCCCCAAGTGTCTACCCTGTACCAGGGAGATGAATGAGATGAGATCCTTTCCCATTGTGTCCTTCATCTCCTGTGGAAATAGAATCTCCTTCTGCTTGGGCAGGGCACAGCGAACCACTCGTCACTGAGCAACCTCACATACTAGGTTTCTCCCAGGCCAGATGGCAGGACACTGTGCATGTATAGGACTGGCCCCCCCCAGCCTCCATAGTTAAGGTTGGCCTGATCCTTCCTGAGCCCCCATACCTGAGGAGCCAAGGATTATTTTATGAAATTATTTTTTATTTATCACATTTCTGTGATAAATAATAAAATAAAAATAAAAAATTATTTTTTATTTATCACAGATCCTGCAATATACATACTCTACCTAAATGCATGCACATGATAACATGCATGCTTTCTTAGTACCTTTTTCTTTTGCTTTTATATTTACCTCTTCCCCTTCTTCCTCCTTTCACAGCAGCTGCCACCCCATGAACTCATTGTGTCTCCTTCCTTATTTTTCTTCATATATATCTCCTATACAGATCTGTATATTATTTACTAATAATGAGATCCTATTATACACACTTTTTTGCATCTTGCTTTTCTCCCTGAACAGTCCTCCAGTGACATCTGGCAGACCTTTAGTCCATCCTTTTTAATGGCTGTGTAATATTCCCCAGTGTGGACATACATAATATACTCAGCCATTCTCCTGCTGATAGGCATTCCCTTGTTTCCAGTGTTTTGCCATTCTGAATAATGCTACAATAACATCCTAACACATATGACTTTATGTACTGGTACTTTTAGTTCTATAGAATAGATCCCCAAGAGTGGAATTTCTGGTTATATCTATTTTTAAATAATAAGGAAATTGCCAGATTGCTTTCCTAAAAGCCATCATATCTTCACTGGTAATACGAGTGTGCCCTTTTCTCTGCCTCCCTTCTAGCTTTGGCTGTTGGACTTCTTCATTTCTGTTAGGTGATGAGTGTAAAATGATACCTTATTTTTACCTTAATAGCATTTCACTGAACGTGTGACAATGTGCATCTTTTCACAAATTTCCTTGCCATTTGAGTTTGCTCTTAGGTCTTTTGCCTATTCATATTTCTTGCCAATTTTTCTATTAGGTTGTTTGTCTTTTTTGTGTCAGTTGGTGAAAGCTTTGTGTGTTGTGGTTGTGGCTGAAGAGTCTAAAAAGGCTTCTCTTCCAAGCAGGATGGTTGAATTGCAGGCTTTTCCCCTCTGCACTGTAGAGCTGAGCAAGTGAAATGAACTTAGGGGTTGTTTAGCAGAGCTAGGAAGGCTGTTAGGACCTGTGGCCATAGACTGCTGGTCACTCTTAAGATGCTGAGTCTGAAGAGAACATTGTATTGAGCCAAATGCAGCTGAGTGTGGAGGACTGAGAAAGTGAGGCAGCTCTGCACCGTGCTGCCTTCCACTGGTTAAGACCTCCAAAAGCGAAAGGCTGCCCAGGCAGAGGATGTCCCTCTGCCTCCCATGGAGGGGCAGCGCTGTGCTGGCCGACATTTGTGGTGCTGCTTGGCCCTGGCTCAGGTGAAGCTTTCCACTAAGTCAAAAGGATTAAGACATCAAAATCAGAGCATCTCACCCTTGTGCCTGCCTTAACTCATAACAGATGGCATCCACATATATGATACTTCTCTGGGCATTCCAGTTTTAAAGAAACCCAGAAATATCTTGCAGGGAGGTAAAAAGCATGACAGTAATTGGACACTTCAGGCACTATTAGGGGCACTTCAGGCACTATTAGGGGCACGTGTGTGATGATGACTCTCAGACTTTGGCACAGGTAAGAGAATCTGCAGGTTATGTGCAGTTTCAACGACTAGCTCCGGAAGGCATATCAGAATGCAAAGTAATAGCCTTGATCTTATAGAAAAACTTAAATCTCTTAATTTATTAAATAAATCATAGGGATTCATTATATAGTTTCTTCACTTTTATGTATGTCCAATAATAAAATAGGAACTCTGGAAAGGTCAAATTCAAATGTAGAAGGAAATGGAGTTCTAAAAAGGAAAAAGGAGTGTAGGAAAATTTTAGGTAAAGTTGGAAAATAAAAACATTTCTAAGATTAAAATCTTGTTCTGTTTACTAACCATAATATTACATGACTGTAATGTTTACTGACCATAAACAAATTTTCCTTGGAGGTGGTCTGTAATTCCTCATCCCACCTATTCCTACTTTTGGAACTTCAGCAATTGTAGAGCTAGGGCTAGGGTCTGGTGCTCACAGACCCCTCGAGCCTGTTCACAAACCCTTCACACGCAGGTCTACAAGCTAGGTAACCAGATAAAACGGTCCTTGGAGCCTTGGTTGAAGAAGGAATACTCTTTATTTAGCACACACAACACTAGGAGCTAAGCAGTACAAACAGAAACTCAGAAACTCAACTGCTGCTGGCAAAGTCCAAAGAAAAACTGAACCTGAGCAGCTGCCAGCAGAGTAAACATACTCTATTGTTAGACACAGCTCTCTGCCGCCAGCCTGCTTCACAAACTGCAGAACACACAAAAGCAATTAATTAGAAAGAGACATGGCTACACATGCACACTAACTCTACCCAACAACTTGTTTACAAGAAATGTGCTGCTGACCCCCCAGCCAGACCTGAGCGGAGGGAGTCTGACTAAGTTACCTATTTTCCCCACAGCAATTTAATAAATCTAGTGGGGGAAATGTGGCCTTTAATTTCTAAAGTCCTGTTATGCTAATTGGTCATCATGAGTAACAGTATTCAATTCAATGCCTGTGAATCAGAAGATATGTGAATAAGCCAACTCTATTGTTAGAAGAGACCTGATTCTGTTCTTTTTTGATGACTGTGGTATAATTATTATCTTTTTTTAAAATGTGAGAGACATATTAAAGGTCATGCCTGATCCTGAGTAGACTGCTTGGTGGGAAAAAGAACAATTAAGTTTAGAAAATTGTAATGCATTTGTAAGAACATTATTAGCAGTTGAATTAAAAGCTTACACTAAATCTACTAATATAGAAGCCTATTTTTCCTGTTCTCATCTTGTCTTCAATCATTCTCAGTTGTGTTTATAGCAAGAGAGATTCTGGAACTTTATCATCTTCACTGCTGCTGGTTGGAAACCTGACAGTCTGAGCAGGCATTGGCTAGCTCACTGTGCATGGTTCTCCCCACGTAGGCCTTGATTTTCCCCCTGAGATAAGTTCTCAGAAGAACTCAGGGAGTCTGTCGTGTGTTCTCTTCTTATTGTTTTTAAACTTTCGAAGCACATTTGTCTATAGTCACACATTTGGTCCTTTGTGAACGTATTTCTTTTTTATTTATTTATTTTTTTTGTCTTTTTCCGTGTCCGGCAATGGATCGCAACCCTCAGTGTCGCCCCCGCACCAGACCGGGACTGGCAACGGGATCGCAACCCTCGGTGTTGGCCCCGCACCTCGCTCAGCCAGTGAGCGGGAACCGGTCTGCATGTGGGATCCAAACCCTCGGCGGGAGCGCCGCCGCACTTCCCAAGCGGCGCACTAGCACAGTGCGCCACCGGGCCGGCCCCATGAACGTATTTCTTAAAGGCTATACTTCACCTTTTCCTATCCCTGCCTTGTTTGATAGGTTATTGAAGTCGTGCATTGTTTTCCTAATAGAAAAGACTTTGCAATGATAGTCATTGCATTATGTTTGGATCCCTTTAAAAAAGATATTTTCTTGGACAAAGTGAGAAGGTATTTTCTTTATTTTTCTTTCTTAATTAAAAGTATTGAGCAAGCTTTGTAGCTTGCAGCTATATAGAGGGCGCCATTTAGTTGGGATGAGCAATTTAAAAAAACTAATTTTATTTGTTTTATGCCTTGCACACCTATGAAAGGGCCAGAAAAAATGAACACTAGAAAGACATGGCACTAAGTCAGTATTTCTAGTATCTGTTTTTAAGGCTGTTTGATTGAATTTCTTTTACTGGGCCTCCCGTCCTCTAAATTTTGAATTTCTTTTACTGGGCCTCCCGTCCTCTAAATTTTCTTCTAGCACTGCTGATGGTGCTTCAGAACTCAAGAGTCATGCTGCATACAGTGATTCTATCCCTGGAACTTGGGTTGGTTGGAAACCTTGAGGCAATGACAGGGACCTGGAAGCCTTCGGAACATGGCCCACCATCTAATTTAAAGGTAAAAGTTTGCTGCTTTATATATTGCCGTTTTCTAAATGTGCATTTACTAAAACATTTTAATGGCTTTCATTACTGCCAATTTTCTCACAAGAACATTATTTTTATAATCACAAAAACAGATAATTTTATCTTGAAAAATGTTCAGTCATTGAAAGCTTTTTAAAAAGCCTGTTCACCACTGGAACTTCTGCCCCTAAAGTTTAAGAAACAAAATGTTCATTCCCAAATCATTATTTTCTGCTCATTTCTAAAGTTTGCTCTGCAATACCCAGAGAAGACTACAGAAGGGAGCCTCGCTCTTACCCTGAAGACAGTAACTTTTTTTAATAAAGTGAAGGAGACTAGTTAAAACTAATATATAGATACAGCGCTTACTAGCTAGTTCTTTCCGTTCAAGAAGCTTAGCTTCCCACTATTAGTATAAATACTTGTTAGCTGGGAACCCACTTGATTTCAAAGAGAATTCCTAGTATAAGAAGGGCTAGACATTTTAAACATGTTTTCCCCGGGGATCAACACTTAATACTGAATATTAAGGAGAAAGAATAAAAGGGAGGGCGGCATGGTTTCTTCACAGGCGCACTAGTCTTAGGAGTTGTGTGTGTAATAGTAATTATTATTACTATTCTTTCCGCTTCCGCCCTCCTTCTCCCTCGGTGTGCAGACGCAGCAGAAAGAATGAGGCGTGAAGAGCTGGCCATGACCATGGAAGAGAGCCGCGGGCAGGACGACGCGGTGGCGGCGCAGGGCGGCCTGAGTCCGGAGCTGGCGCCGGTGCCTCCCGGCCGCCTGGGGGCGCCATACTCCGAGGCCTGGGGGTACTTCCATCTGGCCCCGGCGCTCCCCGGGCGCCCATCGGGCCACTGGGCCACCTGCCGCCGGGCGCCATACTCCGAGGCCTGGGGGTACTTCCATCTGGCCCCGGCGCTCCCCGGGCGCCCATCGGGCCACTGGGCCACCTGCCGCCGGGCGCCATACTCCGAGGCCTGGGGGTACTTCCATCTGGCCCCGGCGCTCCCCGGGCGCCCATCGGGCCACTGGGCCACCTGCCGCCGGGCGCCATACTCCGAGGCCTGGGGGTACTTCCATCTGGCCCCGGCGCTCCCCGGGCGCCCATCGGGCCACTGGGCCACCTGCCGCCGGGCGCCATACTCCGAGGCCTGGGGGTACTTCCATCTGGCCCCGGCGCTCCCCGGGCGCCCATCGGGCCACTGGGCCACCTGCCGCCGGGCGCCATACTCCGAGGCCTGGGGGTACTTCCATCTGGCCCCGGCGCTCCCCGGGCGCCCATCGGGCCACTGGGCCACCTGCCGCCGGGCGCCATACTCCGAGGCCTGGGGGTACTTCCATCTGGCCCCGGCGCTCCCCGGGCGCCCATCGGGCCACTGGGCCACCTGCCGCCGAGGCGCTGCAGGCGCGGCTGCGAGAGGTGAGCCGCCGCGAGGGCGCCCTGGCCTGGGCCGCCGCCGCACCGCCGCCTCTCAAAGAGGACCCCGAGGGGGACGGCAGCGGCTGCGTTATCACGAAGGTCCTCCTGTAGTGTTGGCCACTTCCACTCCATGCCCGCGCTCCTCCAAGTGTGGGCCGCGGCCGGTGCCTTCAGCCTCCCCGAGGGGCAGGATCCAGGCCCGCGGACCCCCGACTGACTCGGGGGCTCCAAATGCCGGGTCTTCCACGCCATGCTACTGCTTACGTTTGAGAAGCGCTTCGGGAGCCGGAGCAGAACCAAAAATCATTTCCTCAGTGGGGTCACATGGGATGCTGGGAGCCGAAGCCCCTGTGGCCTCCCGTGCTGTTGGCATTTCGTGGGCCTGCGTGCAGGGCAGTGCGCACGCGGGAAACCTGAGAGCTGAGCAGCACCGGGAATCCATATCGCCCGGTGCCGTGGCCAGTGGGGCTGAGAACCCTGTACCTGGTGATCCTGAAAGGACAGAAGCTTCTTTACACACTAAAGACTTAAAACACCATGTGCCTTAAAACAACCAAGGTGGTTGGTGCATGGAAGTGAGAAAGGTTTTCACCCAGAAAAGTTTTACACGTTTCCTAAAGCCTACTCTTTGCTCAGCACCAAGTTCTGAAAGGGAGACCTGTAGTTTCCACTACTGCTCTTTTTACTCTCATCACCTCAAGAGCCACGTCAGGGCAGCCCCAGAGGGCCCCTTTTTTATCCCCCCCACAAGATGCCCAACCAATACCAGACGCACCCTGTCTCACCTCAGCCATCTTCTTTCCCCTGGTTCAGACCCAGTGGCAGATGTGGCTCTGATGTGGCAGGGGTTTCCCTCCTTTCCTGCCACACATTCCTGCCACCTTGGTGGCAAGACATGACTTCATCCCGTTGTTGCTAGGAAGAGCGGTTCCTAACGCACATGTCTTCACAGTCCTCACTCCTAGGTCAAAGGAGAAAGATTCCCTCCCCCGCCCACCACCACATCTTACTGTCGTGTTTTTCTGTCATTCCTCTTCCACGTTTATGGGTCTCTGCTCCATTAGTATTCCTCCTCCGTCTGTCGCCCTCCCTTTCCCCAGGCTCTTCTTCCTCAGCAGTGCCCAGGACTTTCAACCCAGAAGGGTCAAGTAGTCCTTGCTGCCTATACTTCCTCCTCCTCTCTTACTCCTTCACTCCTGGTCAGCTTTCTATGCTACATTCGAAGCCACCACTATCTTGGAATGACCAAATGTGATGATTTCATTTTTCTTAATGTGTTCTTTCTGGAAATACCTCCTTTGGTAGATGGAACTTGCTTTTCCCCCCAAGAACTCCTTTTCCTGATGTATACCGCTTCCCATTTTTTCCTCAGGCCTTTTTTTCTTTTTTTAATTTATTATTATTATTTTTTTTATTTTGAAAAATCCCAAGCATGCAGAAAAAGTTGCAAGGCTAGTACAACGAATACCCATATACATACCCTCCACCTAGACTGAACAATTGTTAACATTTTGCCATATTTACTTTTCCCGCTCTGTACCCCGTGTATGTGTGTATAATGACATTTCACCCCTAAGTGAATCAGCATGTATCTCCTAAGAATGAAAACCTTGTTCTACATGATTACAATGATCATACCTAAGAATATAAATAACTTTCTTATAGCCTCTAATACGTTGTCCTTAATCAAAATTCCCCAATTGTCTCAAGAATGTCTTTTCTTTTTTTTCTTTTTTCAAACAGGTCCAATCAATGTTCAAACATTACTTTTGGTTATAACTCTTTAGTGTCTTTTAATCTAGTACATCCCCCCTTAGATTTTTTTCCATGATGTTTACTTTTTGAAGCGTCCAGGCCAGCTGTCTTATACAATGTCCTATGTTCTGGACTTGTCTGCTTGTTTACTTGGACCAGTTTCCACACTCCACTCTGACTAATCTCTCAGTAGACTTACAATAATCTCTTCTGTGCCAGCGACTCCTATCTCCAGCCTTCCTGGCTCTGGTCTTTCATGCCCAATCCCCTGCTGTGTGTCTCTACCCCTACTTGCATCTCCTGCCACTACAAATGGAAAGGGCATTCACATGGAAAGATCTATTCAACTCCACATTCCACCCCTCACCTGATAACTAATATTTACTGGGTATTTAAAATGTATCAGGTATGCACTACACACTACATGTAATATCTCACTTTATTCTCACAGCAGCTCCATGGAGAGGTACTGATACGATGGCCATTTTACAGCTAAGGAAACTGAGGTAAAGGGATTAAGTAGCTTGCACAGGATCACAGCTGGTATATAGTAGCGGTGGAATCCAAATGCAGTCACAGTTGACTCCCAGACGCCATGTTCCTAGCTACTGCACTGCTCTTCTGAGAGCTCTGCTTCCCTGCTAGTTATGGAAGCTGACACCTGTTTCCTTCCTAGCTCCCAATTTATTAGTGGAATTAACTGGAATTGATATTGAGCATTCACCAAGTGTCAGAGCTATGCTATAAGGCTTTACAAAAATAATTACCTGCCAGGCAGCTAGCCCGGTGACATAGGTGCTATTGTGCCCATTTTGTAGATGAGGAGGAGACAGGCTCAGGGGAGTTCAGTAAAGTCTTCACAGCCTCACAGCTGCAAAGAGGCAAAGTGGTATCTGAACTTCAGTCTCACTGAATTCTAGGCACCTGCTCTACTAAGTCTGTCTCTACAAAATATGGTACCTGCCTTCCTTCTGATGCCACCTGCCAAGCCCAGACCCCATTTACCATTCATCTGGTATTCATCTTCCCATTCTTGTCTTCCCCTATTTCTCCTGACCTGACACAACTTGGCCAAAGCCAAAGAAATGTCCTAAACCAATGCTGACTAATTATATCACTTTTCCTGCTGAAAAGCCCCCAAGGTCACACATTACCTACTTACTATAGTCCAGGCTCTACCTTGTGGCCTGACATTCAAGTTGCCCTCCCCACTCCCCAGATGCCAGTCTTATCTGTCCCCTCTCCTATGTATTCTGTATGCTCCAGCCAAACTGGAGTCTGTTCTTCCTAACATGCCCTGGTCTTGGCCCCTCTATGCCTCAGTTCACTGTCCCTCGACTTAAAAAACTTCTTCAATCTGAGTATGAAAAAGCCCACCCACTTTCTAAGACCACAGAGCTTTCCTTGATTTCTCCTCATTTAGAGGCATTTCCTTACCTCTCTGGACTCTCCTAGCATTTTGTATCTCACAGCCCTCAAAGCAGGCCATCTAGCATGGCTATGTAGGGTTTTGTTTTACCTCCCCTGTCAGACCTGAGCCCCTGGGGGTCGTTGACTCTTCCTACTCCCACAGTGCCTTGCATATAATAGCTGCTCAATAAATATCTGAGGCATTGAACTAATTCAACGTGTTTAAGATTTTTATGTTAGTTTTTCTGTAATTATAATTCATCTATCTTTAATTTTCTAAGTAAGATTCTTAGCAGAAAAAAAAAGAGCCTAAAGGGAAATAGCAATAATAATTTTTTAAAGCTGTTTAGTCGAAACTTAATAAGTCAGTTATTGGGCTGTTTGATTTAAATATAATCAACTATTCTAGCATGTCATTATCAGGAATGTTTTTTGTAGGACTGTTTTTTTCATTATACAAGTAACAAAAATGTAATGCCCCAGTCTACAAAGAACAGCAGAAAAAACAATCCCCCAAAGTCCTGTTGCCTTGGTAAAATTGCTATTAACATTTTAATGTAATTTCTTCTGGGTTTTTTTTTTTTGCCATTTTTACATTAATAATAGTATAAGTTATTTCTAAGTATTGGAATTTAACTTCATGTGGATTTGAAAGTTGGGCTACAATATCTGAATTTGGACTTTCTAGAAGGGAAAAAAAGACTTCTACAAATGTTACTCTTCTATTTCACCAATGGTTAGAACTATTAAATCAAAGATTTATTTTCAGAATCTTAACCACTCCCTCAAGAAAGATGGCTAATGGGAGTCTGAGTGGCCTGTTAGGGGACAGAGCAATTAACCTGAGTGCTGACTGAATGGTGGTTGTGGGAATTAATGGAAGAGGTTTTACTTTCTGCTCTATATTGTTGTGATTTTTTTTTTTCCTTTTTTGTCTTTTTTTCGTGACCGGTAACGGGATCGCAACCCTCGGTGTCGCGCCCGTACCGTGACCGGCAACGGGATCGCAACCCTCAGTGTCGCGCCCGCACCGCGCTCAACCAGTGAGCGGACCGGTCTCTATATGGGATCTGAACCCTCTACCGAGTGCGCCACCGGGCCGGCCCGTTGTGATTTTTTTATACCAAGCATGAACTACTTTTATAACAAAAATAAAATTATTTACATTTTGCAAACAAATTCTCTCCATCAGCATTCAGCTTCTTTAGCTTTCCTTACAAAACCTACAACACAAGCATGGATATAATCCCCACTTCCAGAAAAGCCTAGAAAGAAATGTAGCTCTTGTCCAGTTCAATTCCACCATTTGACAGATGAGGAAAATGAGTCCCAGAGAGTGACCTGTCTGCTATTAGGAGATAGTGACTGTGGCAGGTCACTTGACTGCACCCTTTTCAACAGATATTCTGCCTCTCTGGCCTTGAGGGCTTCTTGCTCACCTGACAAAGCACAAAGTCCATCAGGACCAGCTGGCTGAGATTGCAATCCCAATGTCTGCTAAGAGGTGGGATTTGAGAATGAAGAGATGGCTTCAGGGAATTGAACTGGACTTTCTGGCTGTGGCACAGTCTGCTCACAGGGGGTTGTCACTGCCAATTGGTGACAATGACATGCCTTGTGTCTATCAACAGGGCTTCCCTGATTTGTGCACCTGGGCTTGCTAACAGCACCACCCTGGTGCTGCCTCTGAGAGTAGTACATATAGGGGTGAGGCAGATGGCTGGAACTGGGATGTAGACTGAGCCCTGGAAATCAACTGCTCAAATCCTGCCATGATGTAAAGTGACTGCTCACTTCTTAAGGTTAAATCTGGCAGGGAGGAGGGAGTGTGGGAAAAGCCAGGTAACGACAACCAAACTTAAAACAGCTAGGGCCCCTCGAGCACCTAAGATGTCATCCTTGGAGGCTGGAGAAGGGAAGGGATTTGTTTGGTTTGGGCTGAGTTTCCACTTTAAATAGTTGTCTGTGTCCTTAATGTCTCAGAGAGATTAATGAACACTGGGATTTATTGGTTTTGTTTTGCTGCCATCGACTCATTCAGGAATTCTACTTCTAAAGGTTTGATTTTCTACCTTTCAACAAGCTGAAATCTGCTTCTTTGCCTGTAAATGGATGAGGTAATCATTAAGGTCTCCTTTGGCTCTAATATGCTATGATTACATGAAATACAGTAAAACATCAATTGACATTTTAGTGAATCAGTTGCTTTATTTGGATTTTCTTGTTAACTGCAGAGTTAGGAAAAAATGTTGAAAGTCACGTGCATGCTTCTTATTAAAAATAAAGGTAGTATATCAAACAAGAATTTTGATATACCACTTCATATAACTTAATACAACAGCATAAAGGTACTCATTCTATCAGAATCACTAACTAGAACTGAAAATGTATGTAGCAGGAATCAGCACACTCTTCCATCCTGTACTTTTTATTCTCACAACATCCTGTAGGTAGGTTAGGTGTCCAAAACCTCAAAAAAGGTTAAGTCCCCTGCTGAAGACCACACAGCTAGTAAGTAGCTGATTGGAGCCTGGATCCCAGTGGACCCGCTCACATGTATGTTCCATTTGTGGTTCCTTCAAGGCCTCTCTTCTGGCTCACCTCTTCAGCAGTGCTGGGACCTCTGGATCTTGGCCTGAGTGCTTTGCTAACAAACACTTGGGCTGATGTTGGCTACTTCCCACCCACAAGCTCTAATGTAGGGGGCAGGCCAGACAACTTTCCCAGAGGAAAAGAGTTGGCCTTTGTATTTGTTTCCTATTCCTGCTGTAACAGATTACACAAACTTAGCAACTTAAAACACAACTTTATCTTACAGTTCTGCAGGTCAAAAGTCTGAAATGGAATGTCAATGTTGGCAGGGCTGTGTTCCTTTCCAGAGGCTCTAGAGGCGAATCTGGTTTTTGCCTTTTCCAGCTTCTAGGGACTGCCCACATTCCTTGCTTGTATTCTATTCCATCTTCTGGGCCAGCTAGGGCCAGTGGAGTCTTTCTCCCACTGCATTACTCTGCTTCCCTCTTCCACATTTAAAGGATCCTCTCTTTTATCTTAAGGTCAGCTGGTCAGCAACCTAATTCTACTCACATCTACAACCTTAATTTCCCCCTGCTATGTAACAGATTGACGGGTTCCAGGGATTGGAATCTGTGCATCTTTGCAGGGGGAGCAGGGTGCATTATTCTACCCACCACAATATTATACTGCCTGGCTCAGGGCTAGGGGGTTCTGAGAAAGGGATGTGCTTGATGGAGGAGCCCCTCTTCCCCACAATTAACACTTCACCAAGGGTCCCAATCTGTCCCTTCTTGTATCTTTCTCTGCTCATTACATGAGCATTCATAGACTTTTGTGGGACAAATACCTGGAAGGTGGGTGTCAAAGATAACTCTGATGGGAAATCAGAGACCTCCACAGTTCCAAGAATGTCTGTAAATTTGTGCGTTGACTAGGAAGGCTATGTGATGGTGAGTGAGGAGCTGACCAAAGCCTTTGGAGTCAGCCATGAATTAAAATCAAAGCTCCCAAACAATTATATTAGGTGTCATCCTAGCAACCATCCTAACCTTCCTCCCATTCAAGTACTAACCAGGCCTGACCTTGCTTAGTTTCTGAGATCAGGCATGTTCAGGGTGGTATGGCCATAGACTCCCTAACCTGAAACCCAATTTCCTATCTTTAAAGTAGGGATAATACATACCTTTACAGGGTTGTTGTAAGGAGGAAGATATTATTTAGGCAAATTCTGACGAAGTTTGAACTCAGTAACTATGACTTCTATTTCTCTTACTTACCTGAATGGGAGCTCAAAGCCAAAACCCAAGGACCTCAGAAAGAACAGGTTCCCTGGGAGGATTCCTGAGAGCAGCTGCACACAAATCACAAAGATTTGCCAAGTCCTTCTCTTTCACATTATAACTATTTTCTATCAAAACATACTGACTTCATACCTGATTTACCAAATGAGCTGTTCTAGTCAGAACTCAATATAACTTGGGACTACAACGTAATCCGATGTATCTTACAATATATAAAAATCTATCCATCTTAAGCAGTTTTCCCTTCACAGCAATCACCCTGGAAGACTATACAGTATTCCAAGTGTTTCCATGCTTAAAACATTTCTAAACTCCTTTTAGAGTGGCCATCAGAGTCTCTTTAAAACATCCTTTAGTTGGCAAATATTCATCTTTCCAGGATAAATCTGAGTTTTAAAAAGAGCAGCCAATTATTCAGAGCCCAGTCTGGTAAATATGGTAGATTATTAACTAGATTAACATTTCTGGGGGCCGGCCCGGAGGCACACTGCTACAGTGCGCCGCTTGGGAGCGCGGCGGCGCTCCCGCCAAGGGTTCGGATCCCACATACAGACCGGCTGCTCACTGGCTGAGCGAGGTGCGGACGCAACACCGAGGGTTGCGATCCTGTTGCCGGTCCCGGTCCGGTACGGGCGCAACACTGAGGGTTGCGATCCGTTGCCGGTCATGAAAAAAGACAAAAAGGAAAAAAAAAACATTTCTGGTTAATAAAGTGAGATCACAATAAAGCAATGTTAATTATTTTTGTGTGGCTCATAAATTGGTCTTGATGGTGTTGTATATTAAGGTTAAGTAAAGGCAGCACGGTCATGTTAGAGATTAAAGCCAATTTTAGTTGGTTTATGATGTGAATGAATTCAGGTAGCACTGGGAGTAATTATATATTTAAACAGTACTAAATGTTTCTTTTTATGAAAAAATTATAACGTTCTCTGCAATCTGATTTCATAGGATTAAAATGAGGCTTTAAGGAAAAACATTAAATGGTAATGAAAGCTTTATTCCTTCAGTACATATTCTCACGGGCTTTTGGTCAAGATAAGTAATGATGAGATGAATGAGCTGGCAACCTTCCTGCCCTCTGCAGTCTACTAGTAATCAGAAGCAAAGTAACACATGGTCACATGTTTAAATACATTTATTAACAGTCCACTAGCTTCTCCCTGTCTTCTGCTTGCTGGGCAATAAAATACCATGGCATTTTAACAAAGATGAAGAAAGTGAACTTTTTGATGAAGAATTTCTGAAAAGTCATTCTTACTCAGCAGGCAGAGACATGGCCTCCATTCACATGCGCCTCCATTCACATGTGCCTCCATTCACATGAACTTTCCCAACTGTCCGCCTCCAGGGGCTTTTTGATTTACATGTTTCTCCATCAATCCCAATTTCTGATT